TGAAATGTCACTTGAGAAATGTTAAAGTTCTAACAAAAGATGCATCTTGATTTATCACATCAGCACTAAGACGGGCACACGCACAACAGCAGCTGTTGAGTTGAGTGCGGCTGCTGGTGTGAACAAGACCTAAAAATTAGAGAAAATACAACAATTTCACTTATGGTCAGAACAGTACGGTAATAGAGGAGGAATCTTCCAATCTGGACGCTTGTGCCTGTGACAACAAAGAGGGGAATTACCTATTAGATGTCTATAAAATACAGGAAGTGAAGGAAATGTCTTAAGATGCCTTACTCAAGGTATAATTCCAGCCAATACTGCTTTTTTGTGTGGATAAAGTAAGGTCCAAGCTTGTCAGGAGTTCAGAGAAGGAAAATCTCCCCAATAGGGAAAGCGACAGCAGTTGAATACTGACAAAGGATCCAACCCCTCTCTGTCCTATGTAGAACAAAGGAAAACGTTTTGGCTTCAGTTGCACTTAAATTATTAATCCTTTATAGGTTTAACAATCCAGAATTTGAATAGCATTTAGTCTACAGGCTGTACAGGCTTTTTGTGTTTTGTTTGTGGTTTTTTTTTTTTTTTTTTGGGAAAGCTAGTTACTAGGCAAGAGAATTTGTGAAAAAGGCACATCGGCTACAAAATGTTCAGGTAATATTGGGACCTTTTGTCATTTGAGGTACCCAGAAAAATCAAGAGTGGCTTACCAGCAGTTGGTGGGCCATTACAGTGTAAGAGTTGTAAGACCGAATTTCAAGTCCCACCTAGGGCAGCTCTTGTATATGAATACACCCTGTTCTGAAATATCTAACTGGACTTGTGAGCAGTAGATCTTTTTATAAAATAAGATCTTTTTTTACTGCACATACTGATAGCGGTGTACCAAACAGCTTCTCGGCATTTGCAGTTTTATTTGAGTTTGTTGTATCTATCAGGGGTTGTAGTGTGACCTTTCTTCAAACAGACCGCATAACCAGGAAGATGTCAGTGCATTAGGCAGAGCGCACAGTTGGCACAGATTCAGTAGACCAGTACTGACTTTGTCCTGAAATAATATTTTCCTCGCATTTGCTGAGCACCATTGAAATCCTCCAATGACTCTGCTCACACCTTCTTTTTTTTTACCAGATCAATAACCCTTCCGGACTTGAAGGTGAACGCTCAGCAAGCAATATTTGTGTGTAGCAGTATTAGATACTTTAAAAACCGACATTTTAATGGCAGAGTGCTCATTTTATACAGAGGACCTTGTCTGAACTCTCACATGAATCATGTTTCAGATAAAGTGCCAAATATTCTAAGACTAAATATTTTTTTTTAAGACTAAAAAATATTTGTGAAAGGGCACATTCACCTAAATCTGGTGTTTCAGGTCAATGCTGGTGGAAGGAGCTATTGGCTTATTATAATGTTCAGGGGCTCAAACTGTGAGATCTCGTCTGTCTCCACACCTATGCACTTTGGGTGCGTTTCAATGTGTGTTATGCATTGATCGTGTATGAAATGCATGACATGCCGGCATGCTTTTTTATGTTTTTAAAAAAGTCCCATACACAGTGTAGAACATGATAACTCGAGGATCCTTAGACTGCTGCAGCAGAGCGGTGCGAGGCTGTAAGGACCAATCTAAGAGCAAGTCGGAGGATCAGGTGAGTATCACTTTTATTTTATGATAGCACTTAGATGAAAACGTGCCGCTAATGCTTGCAGTACGGGGGTAGCCCCACTGCAAGGGTTAATGAACATTCTGTCCAGAGTTCTTCTTTAATGGACATAACTTGTGGGACACTTAGGAACTCTGTTGTTTTGTAAAGCGCTGTCCAAACTGTTGGCACTATATAAATCCTGTATAATATGAATCTATAAATCTCCACACAGATTGATTTTAATTTGCTGCAGTCCAGTAACACTTACAGGTCTTCTCACCTGCACCCAGTGAACGGAGAAGCAGCAGACTTGTGAGCTTCTGTCATTCTGCTCTCTCCTATCAGCATGCACTTTGTACTCTAGCGCAACTGATTGGCTCATTTGTAGGGCTGGTAATGATTAAGATTTTTGTGTTCGATTAATCCATTTTTTTTTTATCGATTAATTTCGATTAATTATAACGCACATACAGATCCTACTACATTGGCCTATACACATACAGCACAGCAATGAAGTAATAAAATGAACTAGGATCACACTAATCCAGCACGTTATTAATCTCACGTGCCCCACTCAATGTGGCCGCTGCTTAAGTGGGGCAACTCAGAATAATAACGTGCTGGATTAGTGTGATCCTAGTTTGTATAGGCCAATGCCTTGGCTGGCGCTCGTGCAGAAAGTTTCTTGGGCAAACTCACCGGCCCAAGTGGCTCCATCGGCTAATGGGGGAGGAGTCCGGTGACGTCACGGACATCGACGTCACCGGACTGCCCCCCCCTTCCCTTCGTTAGCCGTCACGGACATCGACGTCACCGGACTCCTCCCCCCTTCCTTAGCCAACGGAGCCACTTGGGGAAGGGGGAGGAGTCCGGTGACGTCTATGTCCGTGACATCACCGGGTCGCTGATGGGACTGCCGTAAGCCGGCGGAGAGGTGAGTGTTTTCATTAGCCATGAAAATAATTTTAATCTATCAAAAAGTTTACCGATTAATCGAGAAATTAATCTTTAATTTCCACAGCCCTACTCATTTGTGATAGTTCTCTCGTCTCCAGTCAGGAGCTTTGCTGTACAGGGCCTGCAAGAAGGTGATACCAAGTCACATGTAGGTACTACATGCATTTAAAAAAAAATATATTTAAAGCCACACTTTGGGAAGAATGATAACTTACACACCGCCCTGGGTATGTAATTTATAATTAAAAAGCTGAGGGCTACCGCAAGTAGTAAAATCTTACCTTGCAGCATGCCCTCTCCTGCACGTAACTCTGAGCTTCCAGGCACTGTGGAGAGGGAGAGATACCACTCGAGCAGTAGAGCACTCCGGTCACATCTGCGCCTTCTCACTAATGTTCATTGTGTCTTGTATTGTTTTAAAGGATACAAGGCAATCTGTGATTGGAGGAGGGGGCGGGGATGTGATATAATCTCTCTTCTCCAGTCACTGAATGACTTGTATTCTTTGAAGAAATACAAGACATTTGTGAATAGACATTAGTGAGGAGGGGTGGCCCATGCAACCAGAGCAGTCTACTGCTGGAATCTCGGCTCTCACTCTCCTTTGTGCTGAGAAGCTGGGGGTTATGTACAGAACAGTGTGTTGCAAGGTAAGAATTTTTTTAATACTTTGCAGTAGCTCTCCACACATAAAACACAGCTTTTTAATGATGTTTTGCACACCCAGTGCGGTATGTAAATGTATCATTTTCGCTATGCAGGGCAGATAAATACTCATATGTCGCTCCCTTAGTATATAAATGAATGAGGCGTCACTATCTTGATGGCGAGTGACATTGTAGAGCGTTTCCATTAGCACAGTAGCAATGGCTTACCTGATGGCCAGAGATAAAGCGACTTGTTGAAACAGGCAAGTATTTTATTAGCACTTTTTAGTTTCTGTTGCTGGCAATTGCTCGCCAGGAGCAAATGGGCCTAAGTGTTGATATGTTATATTGAAGTAGTATAGAAAATGATTTATAAGATGAAAATGTACAGTCAGGGAGCCAGGGATTGAATAATTTATTATTATTATTATTATTATGATCATCATAATTTTCTGTTTTTCCCAGTGCTTTTGGTTTTCTTCCCACTTAATGTTTTTTAACCTTAGATCAACTATTGTTTTAGTTCAGCATTGTGCTCCTGTATTTAGCCACCCTGTGAACACAGCATGTTTCAGTGTTGGGCCAAGTATAAACAGTTTTCTCCTTTTTTTTTTTT